AGAGAGAGAGAGAGAGAGAGAGAGAGAGAGAGATGTATGCACGTTTATATATATACATATATATGTGTGTGTGTGTGTGGGGGGGGATATTTTTAGAAAAAAATCCAAATATAATTTTAAATTTCGGTATTGGTCAACCAATAGTGGTGAAATATTTGTGTTGTTTTTTTGTTTGTAGAATATTTTGTTGCTTATTTTGATAATAATGGCATAAAGTGAAGGGAAACCCAAATTCAACATTTAGGAAAATTCAATCAAATATGGCATGGAAGAGTGACTTTTATCAACAAATAATCCCTTGTTGTCAAAGGATTGTTGTCAGACAGGCATAAATGTGTGACAATGTAGTTTTGAAGCAGCCATCAGCTCTTAAAGGTGAGTGGACAAAGAATGTAATACAATAAAGCCAAACGTTTATCTGCGGACCAACAACATGAGGGGAAGCTGTTATCTTAGTTTTGACCTCACAGCTTGAGGCTGAGAGGTTAATTATTGGGGCAGAGCTTGATTTTTGCTTTGAGAAAGGGGTGTGACAAACAAACGGCTGTTTCTGTCATTCCTGCCATAGCACAGACTGCACAAAGGCCAGGCCTCTAGTGTTTTTCCAACATGCTCTTATTAGTAGGTGAGAGGTGTAACAGTGGGTCTATGAATGAGGGGGCATGTCTCCCTTGTCATATTGTGATCAATTATTATCTTAAAGAACTAACCAGAAAAAGCCTAAGCTCAGCAGTCTTGATTGATAATTACAAGTTATGTCCTAAAAGGAAATAATGCTGCTATTGCTAATTATCTGTGCCTGCCATTGTAACTGACAATGAACAATACCTCGTACAGTAATAGCATATTAGATACAAGTATGCATATATATATATATATATATAGTTTTGATCAGCACAATTTTTATAAGACATTAACTTATACTGGCATTTTTTAAGATAAAATACTGACTAATCTTATGCTAGTGAATAATGTTTAAATTTGTATATTTCATACTAATAGTTAACTAGTGATACCGTATATGGTGCCATTAGGATTGCTACTAATGCTAACATGCCATTAGGGACTTGTTAGTTAATAACAATATAGAGTCATGGAAAAAGTTTATTTGATCACTTTTTTCCTTTGTTTTTGGTTCATAGTTCAGTACTTTGTGTGTTTTTATTTGTATTATACCTTTAGAATAGGAAATGAAAGAAAACACTGACTGTATCAGACAGATACTAAACTAATGCGTTACTGATATTACATTATTTGCCACTTGTGCGTTTTATTTGAATGTATTCTAACCGAAAAGGGAACTGAGAGAGAGAGACATGCAGCAAAGGTCAGCAGGCTGGGAGTCAAACCCACAGCTCATGCACTTTACCAATGCCTCGCTGCCAAATCCATATCAAAGTTTTTAAATGTTATGTTTTAAATTAAACAAGGTGTTTCCTTCTACCATGTCAATGATTTTAAAACCCTTTAATGAGATGCCCATGCATGGAGCCTGGAGGAGGGTTTTAGTAGTCATTGAATTATTTTTAATGGCTTCTACTCATTTTCTTATGTAAAACTTATTCTCAGTGCAATCGGACTTGCTTTGTTAGACAGATAATATTTAACAATCTGCATTAAATGATTTTAGAATTTAACTCCAATAATTGGTCATTTGAATTTAATTAAACTATATGTAAATGAGTCTAGCTGATTTGTATGGTTGGTTTGTAGTAGAAGGAATATTATTTTAACGAACTGAATAAATAAAACCCTGATTTGATTCTATATAACCTGAAACCTGATTTTTTTTTTTTCTTCTAAAGAAAACAACAATGATATTAATAACACTTTAGAACCATTCCCTCTGTAAATAAACTGAACTGCAATGAACCGACCACTCTCAAAGGCATCAGATGTGTTTACAAAATAGAGATAATGCTGCATTTACATCAGAAGGAGCTTTCTGGGCAGCATGTGAAATAGGGTTCAACTGGTAGGTAAATGTAAATAATGCAGAATTCATCTTTATGTTCAACCCAATAAAACACACTAATGGATTTTTATTGTTGCCATACACGCACTGTGTCATACACAGAACTGGTTAAATAAGTGTGATTTAAGCTAGTAATTATAACGCCGAGTAGAAAAGTGTGACCTCTATATACACCACCAATAGTAATTTTTGATTTAGACGTCTAGTAAACATTAGAATAAATTTCTTCCTAAGCTTAGGCATCTGTGAACAAAATACTTGTTGTTTAAACACAGTCTAGATAAGACAGTGTAAAGCAAATAGGATATTTATTCTCAAACCTTTGCAGGACAAACTTTAAGATTAATTTACTAATTACGTTCTTTGAAGGATTAGCAGTCAATTGTTCTGCAATATTATAAACATTAAATATTTGTATTATAAAAACTGTTTTAACTTGAGATAACTTGACATTTTGTGAGAAAATTCAATGTTTGTTTAATAGGTTCACAAATAATTTCATTTTACTTGATTTTATGTTTTAGTCCAGGTAACTAGATGGAGTAACATTAATCATATATCTACAAAACCTTGTTTTTGAACAACATGAAGCAACACAGTTGATTCCTATCTAGAAATGCAGTAAGAGAGATTAAGTTTTTGCAAAACCATGTTATTTCTTTTAATTTTATGTTACCGTTTCCATTTGTCCACAGGATATAGAGTCAAAGGGTTCAGTAATTTTTAGCAGTAGTGCTTTGTGGGAGGACAAACCTCGCCGCTCCTCGAGGAAGCTGGCTTGTTGCAACAAATCCTGACCTGTTGCCGAAGAGTTCCTGTCAGCAGCTGTGGCTGCTGGTGGCAGCTTGCCTTAGTCCTGCAGACAATTGTTGATACCATCTGCGGTGCTGTTATAATCTGTCAGAGAAGAAGGGTTCCCAGCAACACGAGTCGTAAGATAGACCATACTTTACAGCCCAACTGGATCGATCTTTAACCTGCGCTGTTGTAGATCAAACACAGAAACCCACAAGCATAAACCTGGAAAACCTTCCCCGGTGGAAAACAGACAATTTACAGCATATAAACAACACTTGGTGTCAATATGGTTCCTGTTGAACGGCGTATAACTATGAT